TTATCAAGATAATTTGAGAGCAATTTTATTACTTTAGCACTTTCATAACTCATTAGTAATCCAGTGCTTATCATAATCTAAACCTGAAAGACATGAGTAAATTCAACAAACACAAATGTTATAAGAGCATGACAGGCTTTTCAACTTGATTTAAACAGGCATTATTCTCCTGTTCTATTGCTAAAAATACTATTTTTTGATAAATTAGCTTTCCACTAAGCACACTTTTTAAAGGAATGTGCCTCATCATCTGAGGCAAACACCTTACAATGTCGAGTAAGAAAGAAAAACTCAATTACAGCTCAGATTGCTAAGGAATCATATGCTACACAGGGTGAAGTGATGCTGGCATATTAGCATCGAGGGGAAAAAAAAAGCCTCTATTGCTGAAATGTGGAAGAAGTGGCACTTTACGGAAGTTAAATTTTTTTCAGTAGATTCTAAAATTAATTTAAGTTATTCTTACTAATTCCTCTAGAAAAGAGTTTCATTAAAATTGACCTATTATCTGGCCTGCTCATAGCACTTTGACATGTCCTTATTTAATCTACTGCTGCAAAAGCTTAATGACAGAAAGAGTAAACCTTACCAATTTAAACATCAAGTGACAAAGTGACTGCAACTATTTATTTTAACATGGGTGAATCTCTATAAGCTCAGACAAAATGTACGAGTGTTCCAGCTGAAAATATGATCTTCCCAAATCAATACTAGTTTTAGAGATGGAGATATTTTTACTGAAATATGGAACAACAAATAAATATCGTCAGAAGTGAGAACAGTATTAACTTGTATTTAGCAAAATAGAAAAAATAAATGCAAATGAAGGATTTAAACCTAATAGTGTCTAGTTGCAAAAGAAAAATAAGTACTTAGATGAGCATTTTTTGCTCATCTTCAGGGTATATTGAGAAGAATTCTATCTCCACCTACTGGACCAGCTAAGAAAATGTCTGTAGTTTGAAAAGAGCACAGGGGGATTGCAAAGCCGTATTAATGCATATGCAATTCCATTAGATGGCAGTTCTGAGAAAAGTTTTTTTTGTCCTTGCTATTAGCTGTCTACATGCTGTAGGTTTCAGGACATTGTATTTCACTGTTGAATCTCATCTAAACCCATTCCACAGTCAAAGATGACCTATCTACCAGTCAAAATAGACAGTAATTGCAAACTGCTGTATTCAAAATACTGAGGCTGAGCACATGAGATTTTATCCTTTAGGATTATGCTGGATTTAAAACAGTGTAGGACTATCAACCTGGATTATGCTTGTTGGTTTCTAGGTTTTCTTTTGGTTGTTTGGTTTTGTTGTTTGTTATTGGGTTTTGTCTGGGTTTATGTTGGGTTTGTTTTGATTTTCTTTTCATGTTTTGTTTTTATTTCCAGTGTATGTAGACACATCTATACTGGTGTCACAAGCTGGATAACCTGCCAGCATTAGAAGTTTCATATAAGCAAAACCAATTTCTCCTCTGGAATATTCTCTGTTCTTTCCACCAGCAGACAACAGTCTGTTTACCAAGACTGTGTGTATGTTTGTACATGTTTGTTTTAATGCTTCTTCCCTCATATCCCAAAAACATACAGTGTGACCCTTCTTCCAAGTATCTGCCTTTTTCTGTTCTGACAGCAAGATCACTCATTCAACCATCATCTTAAAAACTGCCTATTGATCAAGGTCTGAAACTGTTCTCTTCACTACCATTTTTCTTCTGTGTGTGCCCCAGTCTCAGTTTAACAGGTTCACAAACCCACATTACAGCAGGTAGAAATAATCCTCAAGCAGCTCATATAAAAGCTGAAAACTCTGCCACCTCCAGAACAATTCACCCATGCCACTTCCAAGTTTGCCAGCATGCAAAGAAAGCAAGCTGTACAAGTTCTGATCCATGAGAAGCCCATTTGCTACTCCTTCCCCCAGGAAGCACAGAGATTCACTTTACAAGCACAAGTCCAGATCTCATACATCCACAGAAACTGACTTGCTGCATACACAGACACTAACAAATCCTTGGTGGGGATGTAGCAGCATCGTTGCCTTCTCTTACCAGAACTTTCCACCAGAGAGAATAAATATTCTTTCGAGTCTGCTTCCTCAAGTTCCCTGTAATGGTATGTCAACTATTCCACCTGTAACAAGTAATAAAAGCCTCCTACTGTGAGTTTAGCCTCTAATCTATGTGAAATCTCTTTTTTCAGAGAAAAATCTGCCTGAAAGGTATGCACTCTGACAGCACCATACCACCATAATTGCTTAGACTGTATAGAGTGTGCTACAGTAATTGATGGAAACTACAATTTCAAGTCAGAACTTCTGTTAAAGCTCAGATATAAGAATGTTAATACATGGAGCTTATGTCGTACAAACCTCCCAAAAGCTGCATTTTAATTCTTTTTACTTGTTCCTCAAACCTGTTACAAGCCATTCAGTGTTTCTCAGTAGGTCTTATAAGCACTTCTGAGGAAATGCAGTTCTCACTAAATTCACAAAAAAAATACTTATGTTCCTACTTACGGATGGGTTAAGCTTTTGTATTGTTTTCCAACTGACAGGTAAAAGAAAACTCAAAGATCAACTTAAGATATGTTAAAGCATCAAATATTACGTCTGTTCAAAATAAATATGCAGCAGACTGTTATCTCCCTGCCCTAAGCCACATAAGACAAAAGATTATTTGGTGCAGTTCGATTTATTACACTTTACGTAATACACAAAAATAATCAAAAAAGAATACAAAAATCCACAAAGATACAGAAGAGCCAAAGCAAACATGAGGAAGGCAAAGGTAGAACAGAAGGTAAGACAGAAATAAAAATCTATCTGTTTAATATGGGTAAATACAGTAAATATTAGTGATTACCAGCTGTAGAAGGAAAACATTTAGAAGGTCTTCTCTATTGCTCAAGCTCTACATTCTGAAAGCTCTATGTAACAACCTCTATATCCTGAAAATGACAGAACAGACTTACTTTTATACAGACCACTGAATAATTTATTTCCAGTGTTAAGATGCTAATTGACTCAATGTGTGTATTCTGTGCTTTCAGCTACTAATAGTAAGGCAACCAGCCTGGGAGACTTGGGTGACCTGGACTTTGGGGTGATGGTTGATGAGAAGCTCAGCATGACCTGCAGTGTGCCCTTGCAGCCCAGAAAGCCAACCATATACTGGGTTGCATCAAAAGGAGTATGACCAGCAGGCTGAGGGAGGCAGTTCTTCTCCTCTGCTCGGCCCTCATGAGACCCTACCTGCAGTACTGCCTCCAGCTCTGGGGTCCCAAGAAAATAGGGACATGGAGCTGTTGAAGCAAATCCAGAGGAGGCCACGAACATGCTCAGAGGGCTGGAGCACCTCTCCTATGAAGACAGGTTGAGAGAGTTGGGCTTGTTCAGCCTGGAGAAGAGAAGGGGCTCCGGGGAGATTTTTAAGCATCTTCCAGTACCTAAAGAGGTATGATGAGAAATCTGGAGAGGGACTTTTTATGAGGACAGGTAGCAACAGGACAAGGGAGAATGGCTGAAGGTTTAAATCAGATGTTATGAAAAGATTCTTCACTATGAGGGTGGTGAGACACTGGCACAGGTTCCCCAAAGAAGCTGGGGCTGCCCTATCCCTGGCAGTGTTCAAGGCCAGGCTTGGTCCACTAGATCACCTTCCACTGGTCTAGTGGAAGATGTCCCTGCCCACGGCAAGGGTTTGGAACTAAATGTTCTTTAAGGTCCCTTCCAACCCAAGCCATTCCAGGATTTTATCATTATTCAGCTACTGCATTAAAAGTATTAATACAATGGCTGCATGCTTAAAGCTGATCTAAACACAAAGTCAACTTTAAAATGCTTCACAATTTCATTTAGGAATTACATAACACAGGAACTCAAAAGGATCTTCAGAAATGAGTCACTGCCCCCCGCACAGTGTCACCATTCAAGTAAACAGTATAAGAGGAAACAGTATTTAAGTATTTGCAAATAAAACTTTTCTCAAAGACATTTTGTATTTAATTATATTTATATATTTTAAATCAGAGCAGACCACATAGAGGGTGTATTTATTATCATACATAAACTTGCCTGCTTTAAACCTCCAAATTGTTCATCCTCCATATTGCCCAGAGAACCCTTTTTTAGGATAAAATTTCTGATAACAAGAAGTTTAACATCTCAGCAGCGCATACTGACTTACCATGGAATTGATTCTATCAGGAAATAATGTTGTGTCTGATCTGGGACAATGAATAAAATGGAGATGCTCATTCAGGTAAAGTCAACATACAGATTTAGATATCAAGCACTCAGAAGATTTTAAGGGGACTAATCCTGAAACTGATTTTTTCCCCTCTACAGAGAAGATCCAGCCAAATTATGTAGTTAATATATAATTTATAGTCCCTCTTTGCCTCTTCTAACGCCTGCCATGCCAAATACACCTTCTGTTTAAAGCATAATAGAACAATAGAACCATCTTTACAATATCCTTCCAAAATTGCCAAACTCTCAACACTCAGTACTGCTATCAGAAGATATCAGAGCAGCTACCTGAACCTGACTTTCCAAAAGCATTAGACAGGTTAATAGAGCATTAGCTGCTTTGAATCATTTGCCTGGGCACTGTATAATAAGCTTACTCTTAATAAGGGAGAAAACAAATTTACAAGAGAGGAGAAAACTACCAGAGTAGCTAAAGCATTATGCACAGTGCAGCTTACCTCACTGTGAGATTCAATCAACTTCTCATTTCCCTCCTTCTATCATTTTTCTGTTATGTGTACACACAAAAATGAGATGGAATAGACTTCATTTCACAGCTGCCAACACTACCAAAGGAAACTGTTTATTTAGTTTCAATCAGTAAAGGTGGAATGAAAAAAATACATCACTATTTTAGAAGTGAAAACTGTGACTGCAGCTGCTAGCAAATTACCTACTGTTTAGAGAAAGGATTAAAATATCATTGAGCACTTGTTAAGTCAATGAAAAGGAGTAAGTTAACATAAGTACCTCCTCTTTTCCGCCAAGTTTGCACCTTCCTCCTTCAGCTCCTTACTTTTCTTTACACAGTCTTCTAAGAGAATTTCCTTTCTTCTCTTTGCTGCATGCACCCAGTTAGCATCATCTTCATTAGTCACATCCTTGTCATCTGCAGCTTCTGCTTCAAACTGCTGGGAAGTAGCTTTTGAAACTTTCTCACCAATCTTTCTCTTCCACCCAAAAGAAGCCATCTGGGCAACTAGAGATAAATGTATTTTCAGTAATTAGGTAATTTAGCTTTCACGTGCATAGATGAAAAAATACACCCTGTTCACCTCGATTCTAATACAATACCATGTAACAGACTGTCCCTCCCCAGTGCAAACTCTGCCCATGAGCTTCACCAGAGATGTCAGACAGGCATGCATAGCCTTTGAGCAATTGCAAGCGGCTGACATCAGGAAAAAAAAAAAAAAAAGGAAACAATAAAACAAAGGCCAGAGCTCTGATGTACCAGAAAGCCCTATATCACGTTTGTCTGAAACCACACAACACAGGAAGGAAGCGACTCGTTCTAATGAGACACATCACAGGCACGGACATAATCCGGTCAAGCGGCACCGGCCATGCACACTCCGCTGCACGGACTTAAACGCCCTCGGTCCGCCTCCCCCCGCTCCAGGCTGCGGGGAAGCTCCACCCGGCAGCCACTCAGCTGCCAGAGAGGCGCCCTGAATCAGCAGCTCCCAGACGAGACCGCACATCCCGCCACCCATCCCCAGATCGCGGCCCCGCACGACCGGCGGCGAGGCGGCAGGCGCCGACCCACGGCAAGGCTGAGGAGGCCACGGCCTGCGCAGAGGTGGCCCCGTCAGCGCCCGCGTCCCGCCGCGGCTTGATCGCAGCAACCTGATCCCCGCGTAGGGCCGCCGCAAGACGCTTTTACCTGCGGCTGTTCCCTAAACACCGCTCTCCTGGTCGCAAGGGCCGCGGCACCCTTGACCCCAGCCAACAGGAAGCGGAAGACAGGAAGGGCCTCGCTGGGCGTGCCGGGAGCTGTAGTCCCGCCGTGACGGAACTGTGCTCCCCGGGAGAGGCTGCCGCGCAGGGGGCTTCGCGTTGGCGAGTGCTGGTGAAGTGCGGCCTCCGCGAGCCGAGCAGGAGGCGTGAGGGGTCCGCTGCACGGCGGAAGGCGCGGTCTAAGCGTGTGGGTGCCACAGCGCTGAGCACAGCAACACCGCCGGGGGACGCGGACTGCACCGACTGGCAGTGCTCGGGAACCGCAGGGAAGAGGTGAGGGAGGGCCAGCTGAGTGCCAGGGAAACACTGCGCAGGGAAAGGACCGAGCCTGGAAAGAGAGGTTTTCCTAAAAAAGAGGAAAAACGCGAGACAGGCTGCTCCTTGGTTAGAAGGGCAAACACCGAGACTCAAGAACTATCCACAGTGTCCGAGAAGAGCAGGGTGGAAGATAACCACTTTAAGCTGAAAGAGGGTAGATTTAGATTTGGCATTAGGAAGTTCTTTACTGGGAGTGTGTTGAGGCACTGGCAGAGGTTGCCCAGAGAAGCTGTGGCTGCCCCATCCCTGGCAGTGCTCAAGGCCTGGTCGGATGGTGCTAAGAGCAACTTGGTCTAGTGGAAGGTGTACCTGCCCATGACTGGGGCTTGGAACTGGATGAGCTTTAAGGTCCCTTCCAACCCAAACCAGTCTGTGATTCTCTGCAGGCAAAGTGGGTCACCACAGGGCAGGGGCAAGGGGAACCTTTGCACAAGCATCCAGCAACCCTTCCATCTCAAACTGCTTTCAGCAGCAAAGGGAACACCTGACAAGACCAAGGGGAAAAGACACAGTCAGGGTTCTAGGCTGGTACCCTGCTGGGAATTAATGCTGCAGTAACTTGTGTCACGTTGCTGCTGAAGTCAGTAAGTGCTGTTGTTTCAAAAACATGTCTAACAGTCCTCATGTTAATTTATAACTCTAGATGAAAGCATGCACAAAGTTTCAGACACAATGATTTAGTATTTCAGGTTTACTTAGTTTTAGGTTTTGAAGGTTTAAAAAGTTACACAGGTATAAACAAGCATTTTTGCCATTCATCTTTGTCAAAAGAAATGAACACAGGAAGTAGGCACATCTTTCTTAAAGAACAGGACTTCATATCGTACAATGGTAATCAAATGGTAAAATAAAATTTATTTCCAGGTTTGTATTAAACACTCATAGCAAGACAAACATGAAAGTTTTTTTCCTTTTTTCAGTATTGCACCAGCAAGATGAATTTTTATCCCTTATCTAGTGAGTTATATTGCACATGGACAGTCAGGCTCATCCATGCTTTTGAAAAAATTACAATACAAAGGCAAGATAATTCAAGGTACTTCAACAGGGAACACAAAGTAACATACTTGACCAATCTGTGTATTTGCATAAGTTGCCTCCTTACAACCCTGGCAGCTTTCTTAAAGAAGTTTTGCCTCACAGACTGTTGGCAGATAGCACGACACTAAAGAAAGGTCTGCAGTATCAGTAGGAACATGTGAAGAAAGCAGTTTCAACAAGATCTACAAAGCATGGGAAAGTCACACAACAGACAACTGTTCTGGATTTAACAAAGTTATCAATCCCCCACTCTCCCCTATAAAAATTTCAGGTCAGAAAACTTCTGGCCATCTAAACTGATCTATCATACCAATAAACTTACCCTATTTAAAACTACAGATACAGTATGCTGCTGCCAGAAATTTCCTTAGAGCTCCAGATAACAAGACAAAGGAAAACCTATGGTTGCCTTAATGCACAGAGGGCCAAAAAAAGTGTATCAAAGCTTTCTGCACCTTGACACCTTGCATTCGTGATCAGCATCACACAGGTCAGGCACCATGTATAAATATACTTAGTTTAAACATATGCAAGAGTGATCCCAAACCAATTCCAGATGAGAAATTACTACAATTAAAAAACCTGTGCGTTTGTTGTAGTTGTACAAGTGCAATATATAACTACTTCAGAATTAAAGGGTAACACAGATTAACACAATGATTTATTAAGTACATCCGAACCAATTTCTACAAGACTAAAACTGTGACTTAGAAGTAGGATTTGCAGCTGGTCCCTCTTGCTGACATTTTGATCTTGGGAGTTTAAACCCAAAGTTTTATCTAAGGAAAAATCTTTCTCTTTAAGGTACAATACAACCTTGCATCACAAGGACCACGTGTGACACTTAAGGATAAAGAACTGAAATTTTAACTTGCACCTACATACTAGGCAGATCACACAATTGCCCAGAACGCAGTTATCACAGTTCCAGGGCTTAAAGCAGCTTTATGTTTCTTCAGATTCTGTGCATATTCCTAACAGATGAAATTCTGGACTGAAGCCAGTGGGCTTGGATTAAACTGTTCTTCATATCTGTAGCTAGTAATTTTCCATGGATAAAGTTCCAAGTCACTGGCAAGGATCCCCATTGCATTTTAAGAGTCCAGGTTTCACTGTTCACAATAATGCCTTGATTTCCAGCCTCTCCCTCGGAGAGTGGATCATGAAGCTTGTTTTGAAGAGAACACTGAATGCAAAACTAAACATTTTACAGCATAGTTTATTGTGTATGCCTGTTAGTGCTAGATGGAAATAGAACAATGGCTAATTATATCCAATTTACAAGAGACTACAGTTTTGTGCAAGTACTAGCTCTGATTTTAACATAAGGTTCATTTTTTCTCCCTGAAATGCTGCAAAAAACATAAATGCAAAAGGGTGTTACAGGTAGTTGCAACCTACTACTGAAAACTTCTTAAATATTAGTGCTTAAGTTGTCACGATCAGTTTTCGATATTCAACAGAGAAGTTAGAATATTAAACAGCAGAGTTTGATATCAATGTGGCCTTGGGAAAACCTAACCCATATATGTAGTTTCGACTGCAAAGTGAATTTTAAATAGTATATGCTAAGTCAACATGTGACACAGAGCTGTATCGAAGTGCTGCTGCTACACTAAGGTATATGCACAGATCAGACCATCCCCCTTCACAGGGCAACACTGTGTTTTAGGCTATCAAGTCTATCTTTATAGTCACCCTATCAAAGGTGTCTTCAGCATTTAAGTCTCTCACCACTGTTGTGGACTCAGGATAGCTTCTAAATCTTGTTTTTTTTAAATCTTCGCATATAGAACAGAATCATAGAATCATAGAATAGTTAGGGCTGGACAGGACCTTAAGATCATCTAGTTCCAACCACCCTGCCATGGGCAGGGACACCTCACACTAAACCATGTGAACCAAGGCTCTGTCCAACCTGGCCTTGAACACCACCAGGGATGGAGCATTCACAACTTCCCTGGGCAACCCATTCCAGTGCCTCACCACCCTTACAGTAAAGAACCTCCTCCTTACATCCAAGCTAAACTTCCCTTAAGTTTTAACCCGTTACCCCTTGTCTTGTTACTACAGTCCCTAATGAAGAGCCCCTCCCGAGCACCCCTATAAGGCCCCCTTCAGATACTGGAAGGCTGCTATGAGGTCTCCAGGCAGCCTTCTCTTCTCCAGGCTGAACAGCCCCAACTTTCTCACCCTATCGTCATATGGGAGGTGCTCCAGCCCCCTGATCATCCTCGGGGCCCTCCTCTGGACTTATTCCGACAGTCCCATGTCCTTTTTATGTTGAGGACACCAGAACTGCACACAATACTCCAGCTGAGGTCTCAGGAGAGCAGAGTAGAGGGGCAGGATCACCTCCTTCGAGCTGCTGGTCACGCTCCTTTTGATGCAGCCCAGGATATGGTTGGCTTTCTGGGCTGTGAACACACACTGAAGCCAGCTCATGTTCATATTCTCATCAAGCAACACCCCCAAGTCCTTCTCCGCAGGGCTGCTCTGAAACTCTTCTCTGCACAACCTGTAGCTGTGCTGGGATTGCTCTGATCCAGGTGTAGGACCTTGCACTTGGCATGATTAAACTTCATAAGGTTGGCATCAGCCCACATCACAAGTGTGTCAAGGTCCCTCTGGATGGCATAAACATCTCTGGATATACATAAACAGCTTTTGCAAACTATATATATTTGATATTTCTGTTCTACTCACAGCCCACGGAATTTCATCCTTAGTGCATTACAGAGCACCTGCGTATGTTTCCAGCTGGTAGAACCTGCATGCATCTAATCAAATCTACCCGTTGCTAAAAGGAGTACACTCTAATGCATTAAACAGTTCTTTATCATTTACTGTCAAGTAAGGGAGGGGAAGAAAGACAGCAGTTTTAACATATTACTCTTAGAAGATGTTGACAGTTCTGACCAACTGAGTCACAATTGCGCTTAGTGACCAACAAGTCATACTCAGGGCACTGAACTAGTAAGTGTACATTTACTTACAGTGCATCAGGTGTATGTATTACCAGTGAAAAAAAAAGAACAAAAAAAACAAAGTCCATCTAACTTAAATGTTATATGCAGCCTAACGTGCACTCAACATAAATTGTTACGAATGCTGCCTCAAGGGCATGTGATTTCCTGCACCTCTGCTACTGGACAGCAGACAATCAGAATTCTCTCCAGCTTCAAGTACATGTGAACTGCCCATAATCATTTCAATTCCTGTACAAATTGCATTCTGTGGCTAGCTTTCTCAGCGCCTTAGTAAATTTAACTTGATTATAACTGGAAGCATCTGGCTATGATTTAGGCATGCTTATTGCTGTGAGAGAAATAAGCCCATCTTCAAAATTACTGTGCAAGTATTTTAATAAGATTTGCACACATCTCAAAAAACTCTATTGTATGACTCCCTGGCCTTGGAGTTAAGTCAGCTGTAGAAGAGTCAAGCGATGAGTTGACTGATGAGGTAAGGGATGTATCTGCAGATTTTCCTTGTGCATCAGCATCTGAATCTTTTTGACAGGATCTATAGTTGCTCACAGAACCTGATCTCTGTGGAGTTGCAGTCCCAGACTTCGTTTCAGTAATTTCATCTGGGGGGCCAAGGGAGAGAGAAGGAAAATTAGATATCAGTATCAGATTAGTTAAAGGCACAGCAAATATCTGCCCCTTCTCACACATCAAAATCTTGGGTTTTTTAAAGTCTCAATCAATACATATACTGCTTGTGCAACGTGAGTTGTATTTCCTCAAGAGTTGAGGGCAGCACTCCAGCAGGCTGCCCTCCAGCTGTGTGGCTCTAAGCAGCCATCTCCCTCTCAAAGGGATGACATTTGTCCTATACTGCAGTAGCTCAATACAGGAAAATGATTAGTCCTCTCTATCAAGTACCACTGGATCTAAGCAAGCACCTGTATTGTCAGAAGGAACGGCAAGAACTCTACCACCAAGTCAGATGAGACTCAACTGTCACAAGATATGGCCTCAACTACCCTACAATGTAATCCAGCCACACTCCAGTAAATCATTTTTCCATGTCACTCGTTTTCCTAGGCATGTCATCTACACCACTGGCTGCAGGCAATTCTGCTTATGTCTAGTATGCCCATAAACAAGCACAGTAGCCAGTCGCTATCAGCTCCTCTGTTCGTTTTCAGGAAGGTATCCAACTGGGATTTGTATGCTCCATTACTGTCACTCTATAAAATACACCTTTCCATAGACTAGACAAAATGCTTCCAAGGCTTAAGTTACTGCAAGCATACAACTCCTATCTCAAAATTTTGTCTACCACTAACACTGGTAGGTTGACTTTGCCTGGCAGCTAATACCTCTGAGCAATGGGCAAGAATATTTTAAGGGCAAAAGTGAGAAAACTCATGAGTATAAAAAAATATAGCTTAATAAGAGGAAAGGGGGAAGGACGGGTAGTGATGCAAAAGCAACCACTTGCCACCTCTCCAAAGCAGACTCTATGTCCAGCCAGCCTCAAGGCTACATTCCCTAAGCCCCCATCCCTCAATTTCTTTGCCAAGCATAACATTATATGGCATGGAATATCCCTTTGCACAATCTGGCTTAGCCCTCCAGGCTGCATCCTCTCCCAGCTTCTTGCTCATTCCTGGCCTGGTTTGACAGTGAGGAAAGAAAGAAAGGCTGAATACCATGTAATTAGGTCTCAGCAACTGCCAGAACATTGGTGTGTTGCCAACACTGTTAGTCACAGATCCAAAACACAGCACCATATAGGCTGCTATGAAGAAAATGAACTCGTATCTCAGCCAGACCCAGTACAGCAGTGTACAGTCCAAATCACATTTCAATGCCTAGATGCCAAGCTTTATCTTCACTAGTTTATTCACACGCTTACATCTAAACGTTTAAACTTTGGGGGTGAGGCTCCACAGAGAGTTTAGGTTGATACAAATCTCACCCCTTGTAGCCCAGTCCCCTTTTGCACTAGTGGTATTAGTGCTGGAGTAGATGCAAAATTGGAGCAGGAACTGATATAGCTAAAATGCTATTATTTAACAGATGAGTCAGATAACCATCTCCTCATAGGAACACTAGACCAGGAAGGACTAAGAAACACCAACAGAGATCTAGGTTAGCTTAAATTAAAAGGTAACGCTTAATTTACTTGTTTAGAAGTGAAGTATGACAAGTTTGCATTTAGAATGGTTTCCTGTACAGTTCTCCACATTTATGTAAGACTTCACATACCATCGATGCTACGGAAGTCCAGTAAGTATGTCCTGCTGTCCACCTGATACAACTGTAGACTCATTTTAGAATATGCACTGGTAACTGGATTCTTCCTTCGGACACGCAGATAGTATGGATTTACAACCTAGTACAAAAGAGATCTGAATTAGTAACCAGAACTTATTGAAAAGCACTGCATATTATCATTTCAAATCAATGGTATTATCAAGGGATTCAGTTTATATGCTGGAGGGAAGGAATGCCATCCAGAGAGACCCTTACACACTTGTGTGGTAGGCCAGTGCCACTTTCATGAAGTTTAACCAACTCAAGCGCAAGGTCCTACACCTGGGTTGGGGCAATCCTAGGCACAGCTACAGGTTGAGTAGAGGACTTGGGGGTGTTGATCGATGAGAAACCTAGCATGAGTTGGCTTCACTGTGTGCTCACAGCCCAGAAAGCCAACCATATCCTGGGCTGCATCAAAAGGAGCGTGACCAGCAGCTCGAAGGAGGTGATCCTGCCCCTCTACTCTGCTCTCCTGAGACCTCACTTGGAGTATTGTGTGCAGTTCAGGTGTCCTCAACATAAAAAGGACATGGAACCGTTGGAACAAGTCCAGAGGAGGGCCACAAGGATGATCAGGGGGCTGGAGCACCTCCCATATGAGGATAGGCTGAGAAAGTTGGGGCTGTTCAGCCTGGAGAAGAGAAGGCTGCATGGAGACCTCATAGCAGCCTTCCAGTATCTGAAGGGGGCCTTATAGGTGTGCTCGGGAGGGACTCTTCATTAGGGACTGCAGTAACAAGAAAAGGGGTAACAGGTTAAAACTTAAACAGGGGAAGTTTAGCTTGGATATAAGGAGGAAGTTCTTTACTGTAAGGGTGGTGAGGCACTGGAATGGGTTGCCCAGGGAAGTTGTGAATGCTCCATCCCTGGTGGTGTTCAAGGCCAGGTTGGACAGAGCCTTGGTTCACACGGTTTAGTGTGAGGTGTCCCTGCCCATGGACAGAGCCTTGGTTCACACGGTTTAGTGTGAGGTGTCCCTGCCCATGGCAGGGTGGTTGGAACTAGATGACCTTAAGGTTCTTTCCAACCCTAATTATTCTATGATTCTATGATTGTAGGCTTTCCTGTTGGAGTTCTGATTTGGGGAGGTTAAGGGTGAACATGTGGGGGTGGTGTTTTGCAGGTTGTTTGGTTGTTTTACCTTGGTTGTGTTGCTGTTTGCTTCTGGGTTTCTTAAAGTGTTTTTTGGGGGGTTTGTGTTTTGGTGTTTGTCCTTTTTTTTCTTTCATTCAGTAGTACATGAGTTTTTTGTTGTTGATGTTGTGTTTTGGTTTTTTTTTTGTTTGATTTTTTTAGCAAACAAAACCATTCCTACAACCCCAGTAGAAGAGGTAGACATGATAGCAAGGTTTTTTCCTGTCAGCATGAATAGCCTCTCCCAAACCACTTCTAGGTCATAAGAACATAGTTACATAGCCTAGAAGTATGAAGCTACACAGCTCAAACAAAAATTTGCTGGTTTCTGCTGTAAAGATACTTTATTCTTTTACCTTCCATTCATAATCCAGTTGTTTAATTGCTCGACAAACTTCAGCCATGATATCATTTGGTCGACTCTGACTTCGTATTCCCAAATGCCACTTAGCCCTCCTTACACCTTGGTGCTTTGACTTCTGTGGATTCAGCTCATCAAGAGTATGGCGAGGACGAGGTGCTTCAGCTACTAAAAATGGCACTCTTTCAGGATGAGGGCGAGACAGATGGTGATCATCAAGAAAAGAATCTGGGGGGCTTGTTGCCAAGTAGAAGTCTTTGGCCTCATTCATTATTCTTCTATTATCTATAATGAGGTGATAAGCAACTGCTAAAGGATCCTGATGATTTCTGCTGTACAGACAACTTAACACTTCCTCTTCAGTGCATTCAAACTTCTCACACACTTCTTTTAAGGCTTCATCATCAATCATCGTAGAGCTATATGATGGGTCTTCAGGAAACAAGTATTTTGGAAGGTCCAGTTTAAACCATTCATGTTCTCTAGATTTAAAAATACATATAAAAGTCTGAGTGTAAGTATGAAAAGCAGACCTTTTTAATATTAAATTCTTTCAAAATTATTTTTAAACTGTACAGAAAGAATAAATTGTCACTCCATGTCCTCTTCTGTGCAGCAAAGACAACAAAAGAGTACATAAACACTGCCTTCACAAGCTTCCTAGACATTCCGTAGAAGACTAAAATCCTAAGTTTTTCAACTGAATTCCAAAAATACCTTTGTATAGCTCAAACAGCTTTTTATACAAATGGTATACTTATTACTGCCACTGTGCTACTTTTTAAATGTTTTCAACTGAATTTCTTACACTATCCACTTGAGTTGTCCCTCCCCAAATACACACATAACAATACCTAACAAAATTATGAAATGCCAAAGATTCATAACTTTTTGGTAGATGGTTGGACACAGATTTTTGAACACAAAAGCCAGATTTCCCATCCCAAACAAGCTGCTTTCAATTTTTCCATTCACAACACCTGCAGTTGCTTCTTCAAGACTTAAAATGGGTTGAAGGAATCTCTGGAAGGGTCAATCTGTACCTCTTCACTACTGTACTGAAATAGAGAAATATAGGCTGAAATATAATCTATTATAAGTAAGTAAATTACTTTTGCTTAGTGATCATCCTTGTATAAGATAAATGACTAGTTGCCGTAGTTCTAGGACCTTGTAACCTTGTGCAAAATTTATGGTAAGCAAAACAGAACATGTAGATAAGGATTAGCTGAAATTAGCAGATGTTCAGGATGAGTTGTAGCTGAGTTAAGTGATAAGTAGAAGGACAGAGAGAAATCATTTAATTATGTCAGTGGTGTTACTAAACTAATTAAGCTGGCATAAGCATTTATCTACTGTGCATGCTTCAAAGGCTGCCAGGATGAAAGTTCAAGGAATGGCCAAGTGATGAAGACTGCTGGACCCCCAAAGACCACTACTACATGAATATGTATGCTTAGTGACTATATTAGAACAGATTGCTTAGCACTTCAGCAGACATGCTAGGAGGAGCTATCCCCCGTGTCTCCCACGCTGCAATAAAGAATATCTGCTTGTCAACTTAAACTTCGTTGGCAAGTTCCTTGAGATTTCTCTGAATCAATTTGGCAGCCCAGACAGGACCCGCTCTACTCGGCTGCAGGACCCAGTGAGGACAGGGCTCCCTAGGGCCTTCAGGAACTTTTCCCAGAGGGACGCCTCGACTCATTCAGATCGCTGCAGCAGCGGACAAGAACCATCTTTATGGAAGATATTCTTTTCTTTTTATATATAGTCTGTAAGATGCAGAGAGCATCTTACATAAAGACTAAATTGGATTGGTAAGCATACGTAAGGTTTGGAAGCCTTCCGTAAAACGAGATAGGAAATACTGTAGGTAAAGGGGAATACCCAGCTGCTAGCGTCCATTTGGTATACACCTGCAAGACACAGGTGGCGTCTGGTGGTTTAGGTCCTGCAAGACGCGGGGGGTGTCCTATGGAAATTTTTTTTACTGGTATTTGACTTATTTTGTGGCTTGTTATAGTAATGATTTTGGTATTGGCAACAGGATGTTGTAACTGTTGACTAACTGGTGTTTGATTGAATTTAGCCTCCGTCTCAAGTACTGTAACTGTGTGGAGTGTATCTGTGGGATCCCTAGTGTGTGTTAATGTGAAATTAATAATCAGAAATCAGGAGAGTGGAGAAATTTTGAAAAAGAGTCCTTTGGGGTATACTTTGGCACACTGGAAAGACCTGGGAGGGGCTCCTGGGGGCTCAGTAAACAAGTAAATATTGATAAAAATACTGTGATCAATGGTAGCCTTTATATACTTCAGAAGATCAGGAAAAATGGCCTAAAAATGGAACTCTGAACTGTAATACATTGTTACAAGTGATGTTCTTAACAGCAACAAGGAAAATGGGATGAAGTTATGTATGCAGATGTTTTTCACTTTAAGAAACCACCCGGAGTGGCAGATGCAAAATTAATATAGTTCCACCAGTTCCTTTAAGTTTGGCTTTGGAAAAAGATGGAAAAATAGGAAGCTAAGCTGCAGACATGTTGTTCAGCCTGTGATATTGGGGAAAGATGTTTAAAGTTAAAAAAACAGAGTAATCAGGAAGACAGGTTGGAGAATTATGTATCACAGGTACTTCTGAGAGGGGCACCCTCTGCATCTGTCTTATCTGATATCAATAAGGAGGAAGAGATTGCTGTCACTGGCAATAAGCAGCAGATTCACATTTAGAGTTAAGAAAGGGTTAAAACAGAAGTGCTGTTGCAGAGGCAGGCATCTCCAGCGACTGCAGAGCAGGGTGGGCAACTGGGGAGGATGGGGGGGAAGGGACTGTGTTTAAATGTAAGATGATTACTAGGGCAAACAGACAAGTAAGAACAGACATACTGACAGACTATAGGCCCGAGGAGATTAAGAACTTACTGGATATAGACAAACAGAAATAAAGGAAGAAGCACAGAGAGCAAACAGGAATTGGGAACAGGTAGAGAAGAAAAAGCTGAGTCGTGCTATAACCACAGCTACAGTGGGTGCTTTGGGACAACTGGAAACCGGTGGAAGGACTAATGTGAGAGGACGAGGCAGAGGTGAAAGACTGAATTCTCCTATGGGACGAGATCAGTGTGCATACTGTAAGGAAATTGATGCTGGAAATGAGACTGCCCTAAAAGGAATACCCACAAGGTGGCACCAGTAACCGAATTAGAACTACACTGATGGGGGACATGAGGAATCTAATTTAACGAGTGCATCTGCTAGCGTAAAGCTAGGGACTAGAGGAAATGAAGTGGAATTTTTTAGTGGATACAGGAGCAACATATTCAGTGTTAAATCTGAAGGAAAAGAATTTGTCACAGCTGTGGGAGCTACTGGCCACGAAGGAGGAAAAAAAGAAAAGCGGCATTCTTTCTGAAACCTTTATAGAGCACAGATTGGGAAAACAAATAGGAATGCATAAATTTTTATACATGCCAAATTATCCAAAATCTGTATTAGGGCAAGAAGCAACATTTAAAGAAGGCAAAATGGAACTAAGAGTTAAAAATGATCAAGTAATCGCAGTTTTGAGTTCATCTTTAATTCAACAGAAAAGCGAACAGGACCTCCCTGAAATAGAAGAAATCCTTAATCAATTATATGTGGGAGTATGTGCATCTGAAGTTTCAGGTAAGACAAAAAATGCTTTGCTTGTTAAAGTAGAAATAAAAAGGGGGGCCTGCCCAATTAGAATAAAACAATATCCCTTAAAATTGGAGGATCAAAGGGAATCAAAGAAATCACTGATAGTTTTTTAAAATATAAATTAATTGAATGTGAATTGGAATATAATACTCCTATCTTGCCAGTAAAGAAATCCAATGGTAAAAGTTACAGATTAGTTCAAGATCTCAGAGCAATCAACAAAATCGTGGAGGATATTCACCCAGTAGTAGCTAGCTAACCTATATACCTTATTGACTAAACTAAATAACAATCAGAAGTGGCTTACAGTTCTGGACTTAAAGGATGCATTTTTCTGTCTGCCCCAGCCAAAAAGAGTCAAAATTTATTTGCTTTTGAACAGGAAAACCCTGAAACAGGAAGAAGGACACAGCTCACTTGGACGGTGTTACATCAGGGATTTAAAAACAGTCCGACCATTTTTGGAAATCAATTGGCATGAGAATTAGAATCCTGGGAAGCACCCACACAGACAGGCACTTTACTACAATATGTTGACAACCTGTTAATTGCTACTGAAACTGAGAAAGAGTGTGTTCAATAGACTGTAGAACTGTAAACTTTCTATGGCTAAATGGATACCGGGTATCTAAACTGACAGCTCAACTCATTCGAACTTGAGTATCTTATTTAAGATAAGAAATAACAGAACAACCAGAACTTGGAGAAGCTTGGAAGGAAGCAATCTGTCAAACACCACAACCATCCATGGTTAAAGATATCAAGACATTTCTGGGAATGACAGGGTGGTGTCAACTCTGGATCCATGATTATGGGGCTCTGGTAAGTCCCTTACATGAGCTGCTAAAAGAGAATCCAACCTTTCTTAAAATGGACAGATCAAGCTGAAGAGGTGTTTAAAAGTTTAAAGACAGAACTCATGAGAGCTCCAGTTCTGGGTCTCCTGGACATAACCAAACACTTTTGGCTACATTCCTACAAGAAACAGGGAATAGCCTTGGTGGTTTTGGCTCAAAAATTGGGACCTTCTAAAAGAGCAGTGGCCTATTTTGAAAACAGCGGGATGAACCAAGCAAAGGCTGGCCTGGATGATTGAGAGCAGTGGCAGCAGTTAAACACCCAAGAGGCCCGAAAATTTAGACTGGGACAAAAGATTACCACGTGTAACACTAACATGGTTTCAGCAGTCCTAGAACAAAAAGGTATTGCCATCATGTTTCTTGAAATATCAGGCTATCCTAGTAGAACTGGGTGATGTGGAAATTGTGGTCACTAATGTTGTGAATCCAGCATCTTTCCCTCAGGAAACCCCCACCAAACCATTAGTTCATGATTGCTTCGCCACTATAGAGACAGTATACTTGAGCCAACCAGACCTGAAAGAGGAGCCTCTGGAGGGTGCAGACTCCTGGTTCACAGCTTTGTTAACGATGGTAAATGACAAGCAGGATACACCATAACTACAACTTCAAAGGTAACAGAAGCTAAACCATTACCCTCTAATACCTCAGCACAAAGGCAGAAATAATAGACTAGAGCCTTGGAGCTGGCAAAGGACAAATGGATAAGCATATGGACTAATTCCAAATATGCCTTTGGTGTAGTTCATGCACATGGAGCAATTTGGAAAGAACGAGGACTTCTAAATACCCAGGGAAGACAAATTAAACATGCAACGGAAATTCGGCGATTGTTAGAAGCTGTGCAATTACTTTATGAAGTTGCTATCATACATTGTAAAGGATATCAAAAAGGTAACTCTGATCAAGAGATTGGAAATAATTTGACTGATCGTGAGGCTAAATGGGCAGCAAAAACAGAGTTGAGGTTATGTCCTTAATTCCTGATGGTAATCTGGTAATTGAGCAAAATAAACCTAGGCATTCCAAAGAAGGTATGAAACTAACTGAAGACTTAGAAAGATAGGAAATGAAAAGGACTGGATAAAAATACCTGATGGGTGAGTAGTGATCCCCTATAATCAATTATAGAAATTGGTACGAGAAGAGCATAACAAGAGTCATTGGGGAAGTAAAGCCTTGTATAAATATTTAAACAAACACATTATAGGAAGAAATTTCTATACCATAGTGCAATTAGTGACAATGTCAACTACGTCTGAAATACAATCCTAAGACTGAAAACAGGAATCAAGTTGGGACAATTAGAAAGGGGAGTTATCCGGGACAACAGTGACAAATAGAATTTTCTGAATTACCTAGAAAAGGAGGTTATTGATATTTGTGGGTATTGACAGATACTTTTTCAGGTTGGCCAGAAGCGTTCCCTTGCAGGGCAAATAATGTGAAACAAGTGATTAAGGTGCTATTTAATGAAGTTATACCTCATTTTGCGGTACCAGCAACTATCTCCTCTGACTGTAGTACATATTTCAGTGCAAAGTTATTTCAAGTAATCAGCAAGAAATTGGAAATAGATTGGCAATTACATGTTCCATATAGGCCTCAGGCCAATGGGCAAGTGGAAAAAATTAATCACTTAATTAAACAACAACTGGGAAAGATTTGTCAAGAGACAAAGTTATTTTGGTATCAGGCATTACCATTGGCCTTATTAAGAATCAGAACAAAACCTCAGTCGAAGGAATTAGCTCATCTGAGATTCTATATGGAAGGCCATACCAATCTCAATTTAAAGGGAAGAGCCTTCAAGAAGTAGAAGAATACCTTCAACAGTTCCTAGTAAACTTAATAAATGGCAGAGTGTTAGGGACCAGGGCCAGAGGTTTAGATTATCCTATTCATCCTTTTAAGACAGGAAATTGGGTTTATATTAAGAACTTTACAGGTAAGCCTCTTAAGGAAAAGTGGAATAGACCGTATCAGGTGCTGCTGATCACCTTCACTGCAATCAAGGTAACAGAGCAACCTGCTTGGATACATACACAAGAATTAAGAAGGACAACCAGAAAAACACCAGAACTGAGAAAAAGTATGGCACACCGAGTCTTCAGACCTATACATGTAAGACTGCACTGATCATAATTTGGACTTGTATAATAGAAGTATGGAATCAAAATCTGTATCTGAGATTGATACAAGATGTTAGTAGTGTCTTAAACAAGAGTGATTGTTGGATCTGTACTCAACTACCTAAACCAGGAGAGAGACTGGGTATTCCTTTAATTGGCCTCCCTATCCCCTTTAAGACAAACTGGAATAGATTGTAGAAAGATCCTATTTATACCGACAACAGCCATAAAAATGTATGGGTTTTAAGGATTCAAGCCTCAAATATGTCATAAGATAAATGCGACCACAAACAAAACTCTTAATCAAGATAACATGTCAGTAGGAAATTACCCATATTGCAGGTAGGCAATGCAACTTCACCTTCAAAAACCTTTAACTGGTTATTGGAATGTTCCCGAAGGAAAACGGTGTTATTGGTTATGTGGAGAAAATGCCTACAAGGCTTTGCCTCCTAACTGGAAAGGAACATGCACACTAGGAGTAGTGGTTTCCAACTTTACAGTAATTGACATTCATCCCTCTGGAACCTGGGTTTGTAGCTTTAATAAAAGAATCAAACGAGGATATAATCCCATAGCAGAAAGAAATGCTTTCCATAGCTTTGTTAGATGGCTTATTCCATCTCTAGATATTAGTGAATTAGAGAAAGTGATTGTAAATATCTCAGCTGCAATTGAGGAAATAGAAAAAAAATCACACGGCTGATGGTGTTGTAGCATTGCAAGAAGAAATAACCAAGCCTGTCTAAAGTAGCACTCCAAAATTGAACAGCGTTAGGTACACTGTTAGCATCCCAAGGAGTAGTTTGTTCCGTAATCAGTGAAAATATTTCAAAAGGTGGCACAGGATGACACCTTGTGGGGTTTGAGGAAATCTGGGAAAAATTAACATCATGGCTACCCAATCTCTCCTGGTTGAAACAGTTGGTTTTAAGTATGTTAGTAATAATAGGAATGGTTCTGATTACACGTAGAACGGTCCAATGTTCCTTTTGGTGTTGCAAACAATCAGTAATAAGCTAAGAGAACAGAGTTAAACATCAGATAGAAACTGAAGAATATTTCATAAAAACATTAGAACATAACAAAATGATTTAAGAAACTTGTACAAAAGAATTTGCAAAGGAACACAGAAAGGGGGGACTGAAATACAGAAATATAGGCTGAAATACAATCTATTATAAGTAAGTAAATTATTTCTGCTTAGTGATCATCCTTGTATAAGATAAATGACTAGTTGCCATAGTTCTAGGACCTTGTAACCTTGTGCAAAATTTATGGTAAACAGAACATGTAGATAAAGATTACCTGAAACTAGCAGATTTTCAGGATGAGTTGTAGCTGAGTTAAGTGATAAGTAGAAGGATAGGGAGAAATCATTTAATTATGTCAGTGGTGTTACTAAACTAATTAAGCTGGCGTAGGCATTTATCTACTGTGCGTGCCTCAAAGGCTGCCAGGATGAAAGTTCAAGGAATGGCCAAGTGATGAAGACTGATGGAAGAAGTAAATGACCCCCAAAGACCACTACCACATTTGTGCGCATGCGGGAGAAACTTTCTAGAAGAACGATGCAATACATAAGTAGCCTCATGAATATGCATGTACATAATGAATATGTATGATTAGTGGCTATATTAAGGATGGATTGCTTAGCACTTCGGCAGAGACATGCTAGGAGGAGCTATCCCCCGTGTCTCCCAGGGCTGCAATAAAGAATACCTGCTTGTCAACTTAAACTTCGTTGGCAGGTGTCCTGGGTTTAGCAGTAGCAGTCAATTTTTCTCCTTCTTGGTAGCTGATGCAGCACTGTTTTGACTTCAGCCTGGGAACAGTGCTGATAATACCAATGTTTTCAGTTGTTGCCAAGTAATGTTTACCCTGACCAAGGACTTTTTGAGGCTCATGCTCTGCCAGGGAGGAGGGGAAGCCGGGAGGAAGCAGAGACAGGACACCTGACCCAAGCTAGCCAAAGAGGTATTCCATACCACAGCACATCATGCCCGGGGTGGGGGGGTAACTGGGAGTTACCCAGAAGGACATGGGCTTCTGGGTCGGACTCCTTTCTCGGCAGGTGGTATTGTATTCTCTTCCCTTGTTATTTTCTGTTATCATTGCTGTCGTTGGTGGTAGCGGTGGTGATTTGTGTTGTACATTGGTTGCTGGACTGTTCTTGTCTCAACCCATGGAGTTGCACTCTTTTGATTCACCTCCCCATCCCTTCAGGAGCAGGGAAGGGGAGAGCACCCAGGGAGGGCTGGGGGGGAAAGGGGGCCTCAATTGCCTCCAGCCTGGCACCACTCACTGGGAGTGGGTGAACAAGCTATCTGGCTAGGGTTTAAACCATGACAGCAAGATCCTTGACATTTCTCCAAATCAGTACCCATGCACTGGTATTTATAAAAGGGAAAAGATACAGAAGGAACCAAATAATTCCATTACCCAATCATACAGAAAAGAAATGATTGGTTTGTGTGCCCCAAGCAAACTTCCCAACTAGCTGAAGGGTACATCTTGACACCAATTATGACAGTATTCCAGCCTAGAGCACAAATGCTACAGATTTATGAGCAGTTATATAGCTTAACCCTTGCCAGCAGCTAAGCACCACACAGTTGCCTGCTAACTCCCCACCATTGGGATGTCAGGGAGAAAGAAACCTATGCGTTTCTCCACAGCTGAGATGCAGGAGAAAGATGGAGGAAGCAAGATCCTCTTCAAATTCTCAGAGCTGGCTGTCCAATCCATCTACAACTGGTGCCTCCCCATCTGTCCAGCTCATTATCACAAGGGTGTTGACATATGATATCAATGCATTTAGTACAAACTTGCACCGCATGGACTGTGTGAACCAAAGTCTCAACCAGGTCTTTGGATACCTGCCAGGATGCTACAAATTACCTCCACCAAGACTAATTCCCTCAAATAATGAATATGTCTCCTTAACAGCAATACATTTGCTTAAGAATTTGCAAGATCTTCTTTAAAGTCATACCCACCCCCACCCCTTGAAAAATTAAGGTACTCAATTGAACTCAGTTTGTCCCTCAAAGTGTGAGGTGACATCTTGTATGGCTAACAGGACAGAACTATTTATGATACAAAAGCAATCCATGCTCTGCAACAGAAGTTTTTCAACATCTTGCACACCACTATATAACTTATTTTACTACGACTCCTGACAGAAGGCCACTGAAGATGAGAATCAGAGGTAAAGCCAAACCACCAGCAGCTGAATTTTCTCTCACCCTACAAAACACAGACTAGCTGTATGAATGACTTCTTTGTTCTGCGTATTTGTACCGAGATTATCATTCCAGCATCCTGTGATCAGACATCAGTTAGTGTTTTACCTAATGTCTCTGACTGTTGCTCTCTTCATTGGATCCACTTGCAGCATGTGCTTCAGAAGACTGATTACAGACGGATTCAGATACTGAGGGGTATAAAAGATACCATCACATATCTTCTTAAAAAGGGTTGGGACATGATCATCATCAAATGGAAGCGTTCCACATAACAAAGCATAGAGAATAACCCCACTGCTCCAAATATCTACTTCTGGACCTGCATATAATCTGGGAAGAAAGTTAACTATTAGTGATTTGTGTTTAATACATTTAAATATTTTCTTCTCTACTTTCTTACACTGTACCACAGTAATTAAAAGTGTATTAACTTGGGACAACTAATCTGCGACTACCATGCCATTTCAGTTCCATGACATGCTTCCCTTAAATGTCAGTGTCCTTCCATTTCAAATATAAAACAAGGCACAAGTACATAGGTTTCCTCTGTAGTTTATAACAACAGTCCACAAATGCAGTTTAAGTCAATGACAAACCCAAAGAACTTGCACCTCCTACTAAGAAAGCCCATGTTACATATTGTTATAATGGTTTTGGAGGAATCTGTGCAAAGTGCAGGACTTGTCACGTGTCCTGTGGTGCTGCCTGAATAAAACAGAGATTTGCCATCCACTAGCAAGAGGCAATATTGAGTGGGTAGCTGAAGGCAGCAGAGTCAAAAAAAAAAAAAAAAGAGGAAGTTACTCATTCTGAAAGTACCTACTCAGCTTCATAGCAGACTTTGCCTTTAATTCTATTCACACCTCTACTTCCAAGGTCTGAGCTGTTGAGATTTTTAAGATCAATCCAGGAACACTGTGCACACTGCATAAAGCGCAACAGACATCACCTCCACCTTGCAGAAGCTATCCAAAGGTAGTGCATAGAAGCCTTAAATCCTCATGAAAAATTATCAAGCCAATTAAAGCTCGGCCCATGGTTTCTCAGCATCAAGCCTGTCAAATGAACTAGTTCTTGTAGACCTTAGAATTTAGCAGCAAAACGAAGTACATGCACACATGTATCCAATACAAAAGAAACTACCTTCCAGAAATTACTTCTGGCGCAGCATAATTAGGGGAACCACAGCTTGTTCTTAAAAATTCTCCATCTGACATCATATTTGATAGACCTAAAAGTGTACAAGAGTGACTATTAAAAATTGGGAGAGCAAAATGGTTTCATACTGCATATACCATCTAGAACAAATCACTAGTAATTCAAATGAGAAAAATCAATAAATTTATCTCAGTAAAGAAGTAATATTGTTTGGAATTACTGAAATTTTTACATGAGCATGCCACATAATCCTCCATTTAGTTTATCAGAAATTTGAGTAACATCAATTCATTATTGCACACAACCCAGAAGTATTTGAAAACGTTTTAATTCTAAAACAAAAACCAGTCTGATTTGGATGACACAGACATGATGGAGAACAAAGTTGTTCTAAGGAAGATGGAACAGCACAGCAAGATAGGATTTTGGTCATTAACAAGAATGTCTTAAAAATTACATTTGTTTCTAAATGATAAAGTGGAAGATGCTACACAAAACTGACTAAAGTTTTGTAGAGACATAGAAAATACGGGAACTGAGGACTACACCTGACTTCACAATTTCCTGAATCACTGTAGTTCATTAGATTGATTTTAGATATTCCACTGAGTAATTAAATTGTACTTTAGAACTAGGCCATCTTCATTCACCAGCCCTCAGTATAGCCTAAGATCAGTACAGAACTACCACTTCTAGAATAGCTATGGAAAAATGCCTTTAGTTTCTTCAGCAGAGGCTGCATTATCGAGACTACTCAGTCTCCAAGAAGGAATTACATCCTTTTACAGTGGGAAAGGGAAAGATGAAAGAATACAGTTCAGCTAGTTTCCATACTCTAAATATGCAAAACCTTCTATTAACATCTCATTTGATGCACTAGTAACAACTAAGTCCTATAGATTTGCTGATTCGTAAGCTACAGGAATATAGTTAAGTTTCTGTAATTAATTTCTTCACCAGATAAGCATTTTCTACATACAAAAAAAAAACAATATAATTCCCAGAGCCCACATATTTGAACAATGTACTTATAAATATACTGTCCTGGGTTCCGCAGTAGCAGTCATGTTTTTCCTTTGTGTTAACTGGTGCAGTGCTGTGTTTTGACTTCCAGTTTGAGAACAGTGTTGGTGAAGCCGATGTTTTCGGTTGTTGCTAAGTGATGTTTACCCTGACCAAGGACTCTGTGAGGCTCATGCTCTGCCAGGGAGGAGGGGAGGCTGTGAGGAAGCAGAGACGGGGCGCCTAACCCGGGCTAGCCGGGGAGGTATTCCATACCACAGCACATCATGCCCGGGGTGAGGGGTAACTGGGAGTTACCCGGAAGGACAGGGGCTTCCGGGTGGAGCTCGTTTTTCTTGGCCGGTGGTATCGTATTCTCTTCTGGTGGTGAGATGATGTATTCTCTTCCCTTGTTATTTCCTTTATCATTATTATCATTGGTGGTAGCAGTAGTGATTTGTGTTATACCTTAGTTACTAAACTGTTCTTATCTCAACCCGTGGGAGTTGCATTCTTTTCGATTCTCCTCTCCGTCCCTCCGGGAGCAGGGGGAGGGCAAGAAAGGGGGGGAAGTGAGTGAACGAATTACCTGACTGGGTTTAAACCACGACATATACTTAAAACACTCAGGATTACCTAGCACTGTCCAGAGAGCTCTAAGTGCTTTACACAAGCAGGCATTATCCACTATGTCTACAAGAGATATATCGTGATGCTATATCAGTATGGATACCTTACTATGCTTATATGGTGAGGTTTCCTGATTCAGATATCTCCAAGAACTAGCTGCTAGTCTTCAACAGCTGTGTCACAAATAGGTCATATAAACAATTAAGCTTTCTGATCAGTTAAGCAAGTATATAGCAAAAAAAAAAAAAAAACAAACATGAGTTCAGAAGATTAACTGTTCTTAGTTTACCTCTTATATTTTAATTAAATTTTTTTAATCACAACTTTATAGAGTTTTTAAAGCGAATTTAGAGTAGTTTGATTGGAGGACTAATGTATTTTACCATACCGATTAGTTCTTTAATATTATGAACTGCTCCTGCACTGTACTTCCAAGAAAGCTAAGCATCTGCAATTTACAAATGGTGAAACAGGAATAGGAGTGAATTTTGAAGCAGAAAGGTCAGGAACCAAGTCTATTTAGCATTTCAGAGAAAATATTGTTACACAAAACCAAACAAATCAGTTTGTAATTTCATCCAGTCACAGAAAATTTCTGAAGAGAAAGCTTCAGAGAAAAACAAGTTCTACACATGTGCATGAAATATAATTTTCTTTATATTCATACTCTTCAGGTTCTTGTATTGTGTCCCACCACCAGGATATTTAAAAAAAAATGTGTATACTTGAATATTTCTCATAGTAATTAACAGGAGCTAAACACCACCAGAAACATGATCAGGTATAAAACAGCAATGCTTACCAAAGTCAGCTATCTTGGCATTCATGTGTGCATCAAGCAGCACATTTTCAGGCTTCAGGTCTCTATGTACTACCATATGCCTGTGACAGTAGTCCACGCCAGAAAGGATTTGCTGGAACAAACGTCTACTTTCCTTCTCATCCAGCTAAGGCAGAAAAAGGTTTTAAAACAACTGAGACAGTGGAAGATAATTTGGTTTTTATATATGTGAGTTAAAGGAAATTTTCCCACCACCTAAAAGTTATCATTTATTATTGATACTTTATACAGCAGGTTATTAGAACTTATAGAAGAAAGCTACATAGTTTATAGCATTTTGATTGTACCACAGCTCAAAAGTGACTATAAAACATACCCACCAACTCAGAAAGTCTCTGAAACTTCTAATTGGACTTTTGAAATTGGTTAGGCAGATCTTACATACTCTGTAACTAGAAACATTAGCACCCAAAGTACAGCATAAGATTTAAGTTGACAAAAGCTGCTGACACACATCACAGAAGTGCCAAGTTTTAGACAGTATAAGCAGCTATCCCAAAAAGCAGACTTAGCTGGACATTTCCTACAAACATGCCCTAATCCATGTCAAAGTTTGCCCTAACAACTAAAGTATCCCGATTTGTCAAAAGTGACTTCAGAGCTTCCACAGAAACTGTTCTACTAGTAGAAGAGGGTATTAAGGCCACAACAGTAGCTTTCCAATAATGGGTTATACTCAAGAAATGTTTTTTATACTTCAGCTGGATACATATCCACCCAGTCTGCTCCCGGTAATTGTAAATTAACAGATCAGCATAGAAAAGTGCTATGACAGTCATGCATAAAAAAAATTAAACATGTTAACATTCTACCATTTTCAGAAAAACATGTAGTCCTACAGTATGTTTTAACTGCTAACAGCAAAATTAAGCCCAAATACAGAAAAGCAAACCTTCACTTAACAGGGTGTGACTGGTACACTCTGCTCCTGGCCCCCGTAATTTGATTAGCATAACTAACACCATTTTATGAGGTAAACAGCCATTCTGTGCCTAAGCAAGTCATGTATTTGTGCCCTTTCCCTCACTGTCTGGCCCTGTAAACCCAGTAGGTAAACCAAACATTTCTTCTTCCCATCTCTACTGGCCTCAAGGTTCCAGGGCAGCAGGCTGATAATACCTTTCCTTAACATTCCTGAAGGTCCATAGCACCTAACCAGCCTGGCGGTAGTGATAACACCGTCACAGCACAGGGAAGTGTAGCAACACCCAGAGCACTGTCTGTGAACTCAATCACAAGTTCTAAGTGTGGAACCTGGAACAGAACCACTGCTGGACAACAGCCACAACTCACTGGTGGCAAGATACACTTCCACTGTCCTCCGCTTCCTCCAAAGACTGAGTGACTCATGTTCTTCCGTATGATTTTCAAGTCTAGACTATGAATGTTGTACTGATACAGTAAACCATGTATTAAGATTTGACCAGATCTGCAGAGGGTCCAGGTGATAAGAATGGTAAAAGTTAAATTATATTATAAATTCTGTATCACACTACTTATAAGTTGTACTACATTGATTGTTCTTGTTGCAGTCCTGTACCACTCTAGTCACAAATTCTGTGCTACACTAACTATATTATCTTGCTAAGAAAATAAAGCTTTAATTATATCCCCAAAAGGATCCCCCAAAAGAACCTACTTTCAAAGGCAGGTGACACAGAAGTGTTGCAAAAGCAGTAACAGAACACAAGTCATTGATTTCTAGAGTCAGACTACTTCTTACCCTTCCATTTTTACAGATATAATCAAACAGCTCTCCTCCTGAAACATACTCCATCACCATGAAAATATCAGTTGGCGTACTGATGACCTGGTACCTGATAAGAGAAGGTATTTGTTAGTCTACACACTCAGTAGATGATGCTAAATTACATTTAGTTAAAAACAACATTGTGCAAAGAGTCAGATAAAAGTATAGTTTAAAATATTTATCAGCCAGTTTACAGCTATTGAAATCACATTATTTTTCAGAAGCAATTTTTCTCTTTCCACTGTGAGATGTCATCATTGCGAAGATTAGCAGCATACTTATATTTCTAAACAGGAATATCAGCCTTTATACTTTAAGAAGGTAAGCTTAGTCCAAGTGATTCCTATACAGTGCTGCCTTGCACATAGCTTGGTTCAGTGAAGAAGGAATTCAAAAGGACTTTGCTAGCATCTCAAATGTGTACTTCCCAATGTGCTAAGAAAACTTGACTTGCCACAAATAAAACCACACTTCAAGACAAATGGGAAAACAGATGTGCTTCAGCTTACTGAGAAGTTATTCTTGAACTACACACAGCAATGAGTTCAGACATGCATTACCTTTACCAATATTCTCTAACACCATGGTTGAACATTAACAACATTCTAAAGCCATGGCTAAGAGACTACTACAGAGATAGTATTTTAATCAATTTAAATCCAAAAGTTACAGCCAAGCTTCTCTATAGTCAGCTCATTTTTCTGGGTATGGAAAAGGAGGTTGTGAAATAGTTACATACCTATAATATAAATAAGATTATCAAACCATTTGGTGTAGATGACCAGAAAAAAAAAAAAAAAGAATTTTAGGTAGGAAAACAAGATGCATTCTATTGCTAAAGGTCAAAAACTGCAGGAGGAGATGCTCTAAAGGCTTTATTTAAAGCATGGTATAGAAAGAAAATCTTACTGCAACAGGCTGGCAACTGTACACACTGTTACAGCCATGCATGAAATTTTTCATAAAGCTCAGAAGTGTTTCAAATTAGACATTGTCTACCTCCTAATATTAAACTGAAGAGATATGTTTACCTTTACCCCAGATATCTTAAGCTGCTATCTAACAGTTCCCCTGTCCAGTTCCTAATAGTATGAGCAGCATGATCCCAAGCTTCCAGCTATCTGTATAACAATATCAATTTTGTCTTATATGCTACATACATACAAGCTAATAATCCTTCTTCTTTAGAAACGCAGGCTGACAAACTGAAAAGTTTGTGAAAAAATTGATGGAATACCATCTCCTCCCTTCTCTTCACATGTAAGAGGAAAAAAAATATCTCCCCATAAGTCCCTGAGAAAGAAACTGTCCTCTGAAACCTGTTTAACTTAACAGTTTAGCAACTCCACAAGTACACATTCCTGTTCCACCCCCACATCTCAGCCGGTACACTGACACCTCCTATCTTGTTTTGGCTACAGCTATGTCCTTTGGACTCATTCATGAACTCTAACTGGCAGCACCAGCAATTCTGCTGTGAGATCAGCTCAACAGTCTTCTGAAAACTTAACCCACTGAAGAAGTGAGTTGATCTTACAACATCAAATTTAGTTTCAGTGTTAAGAGCTGTTGCCAAATGAAGTGGAGTCTATAGTGCTGGCATATGTCAGTGGCAGCAGCATCTTAGGAGAAGACACTGCCAATAAAAAAAATAATTAAGAAAAAAGATAGGACCAACACCACAATTAAGACAGTGAAAATCACCCACACTTTAGAGGTGCAGATATACACTACAGGAAATGAAAGTCAAAAAATCGAAGGCGTTTATAACTTATCAGACCACAGATGAGGGGTCTACTCTGGGGCATACTGTCCCCTGACCTCCACTTTTGAATTATTGATCAACTAACAGATGTAAACAGACACACTGTGAACACCACAGTTAGACAAAGTAGTAGCAGCTTTACTGAAGAATTCCAAAATAATGTAACAAACTGCACATTCCTGATTCAGAATGTATCTCACAGGGCGCCATCTATGCTGGAAAACCATAGATCACTGACCAGCACATCACTAAGAACATATTTTGAGTAAGAAAACACAATAAACTTAGTACAGAAATGGCCCTTTACAATCTTTTTTACAACTGATTTTTGAAGCAGAAAAAAAGGTCAAATAAAACCAGAAAAAGAAAACTGAAGCTAAAAGCAGAGATGGATGCTACTAGAAGTATCTATCATGGCATTACCTTTTACATATCCATTCAAAAAATTTGTAAGTAAAGATCTAAAGGTAGCTCTCCAGCCTGCAGAGAAGATCAGTGTTATGAAAACACATTACAGAGGACACTGAAAATGGTTCTGTACTTGGGATGTGGTTATTTTCCTGACAATATACTCCTAGAATTGCCCTTTAAACATATTTCAGATCAGTGAGAGCAAAGAGAGATTACTGCTTAAATATAGCAAGTAAAACTTACAGCTTAATTATATGAGGGTGTCTGAAGAGCTTGAGGTTCTGAATCTCCCTGCGGATTTTTCCTACAACATCAAGGCTGCGAATCTTCTGTCGATTCAGGATCTTCACTGCAACTTTATGCCCAGTTAACTCATGTTTGCCAACTGCAAGAATAAGAAAGTATTTAGTGAGGGTTTTCAACTGCTCCATAAAGACTATTTGTTCATTTCTACCACAGCCAAGAAATACTAAGATGTTTGCATTCCACATACACCCATTATCTTGAAATGCAGTTGAAAACCAGATGGCATGTAACTTCTTCTGCCCTACTCCAATTTCTCCCATAACTCTATCATTAGAAGATGAATGGGATATGTAAGAAAAACCTTAAACATAGCCTTCAGATGTCTTGCAGCATGACTGCATTTTTTGCGCTACTGCTAACAAAGCATACACCAAAATGCTATCCTTGCTAAATGCATCCTTGCTGAATGCAACCTTGCTAATTAGGGACACCATTTTCTCTCACTGTATAAGTCACTCCAAACTTTTAGCTCACCTGGTAACTGACTCAGACATGTTTTCCTGCAGTTCTCCTACTTTATCTGAAAGCACCCCTCTTACTAAAGAAATCATTATTGTTCCCTCAAGAAGCCAGATTCAGCAATTACTCTGAATTACCAGAGAGTATTAGTTTACTTCAAAAATAATTACCTGTACTTGGAACAGTCTGACCCTACAGTCCACAGTCTGTGCAGTAAACACCAGGGTTTTATTACGTAAGTGGTAAAAACTACAGGAAACACACAAAAATCAGTTGTAACTACGAGAAGCAATGCAAACATGCAACCTCATATTCCTCAGTTTGTTTCCTACTTCTAGAAGGGTTTCATTTTCTTTCAAGAGAGGAAGTGTAAAACACTTCTCGACACTTGTCCCTCCTTAATTTAGAAGTGCATGTGAAGCAACCACAACAAAGTTGCCAAAAATATTTTTCTTAAACCCAACACTGGATCACAGATAAAGCACAGAAGGCAAGTATCTGTTCCACTGTAAGTTTTCACTATCTGCATGGATTTCTGCACACAGTTATATTCTGATTCAGCTATATCATATTCATTTGCCACCACAATTCTTGCCTTTTCACGATTAGTCAGATTCCAGAGACACCTAATCTGATGATCAGTCAAATTCCAGGGTCCCTACCAGGGATGTGTCCTTGCCCACCTGGAAACTGCTAACAGGTATATGCTGACTCACTCACCTGGGTGTCTCTCCTCACCTGAGGATTTAACTAAGCCTCAGGCTTCAAGCTTTATTTAAATATACCCATGGGAAACTCTGATAAACAGCTATGAACCTCTAAAACCTTCCTGCATTCAACAAATAATCTCGATGGAAATCGCAAACACTTATCAATCTGTGAATCTCTCTTCCCAACACAAGACTTTCCAGCTGCCTTTAGCTAAAAAAAAAAAAAAAAAAAAATAGGAAAAAAATGCAAGTGAGAAGAAATTCTTAGCAAAGACACAGAGGTAATGGCAAGCATCTGAGTAATTATTCTTATGACAAAGACAGCCACTATGTAAAATAAAGCATCTTGTCTAAATTCCTAGAGGTAACTACATAGTGGATTATCCAAGACCCTGAACCATCACAACCTGAAAATATGGAAGGGCTCCCACTGCAAGGTGAGAAAACCCCTCCTCTCATTCAGAGGAGTCATTACCTAATAACGGCCACAATAATCAAGACACTGGACAGGCACATTTGCACTGCTGAGGAATGCAGAACAAAGCTCACATCCACCACAAGTTCCAGACAGCCAACAAAGCATGGACAGGCCAGTACCTAGAACTGTAAAATCATGTCACATACGAGAATTAGTTGCTTTCAACACCTACAATTAAAGTAATTGCATCCCCTTTGGGTTTTTTTCAGTTCAAATGTGACTGAAGTTTTAAAGGAACCTAACAAATTATAAAACACATGCTCAAACCCCAACAAATAACAAATTATCGACATAAAACATTAGAAAAGCAACTATTATATTTGAATTACAGAGTTTCTGCTTATCAGTAACGTAAGCTGAAATAAGGCTATTCTGGGGGGGGAATAAAGAATAAAAAAAGTTTAACATTAATTTTGGTTAGTATGAAACAGCTTCTTGGAAACTAAACAAAAAGACATGAATTTACATCTTCCTTTGCTTTACAAAGTACATGTAGTAAGGTGTGTAATTTAGTAAGTAGCACATAAATCTGAACAATTCTACAGCTTAGCATATAAATATTCAGTTCTGACATGCACTGCATTATAAATTCTCATCTATGGGCCAATTTGTCTCATTTCCAATTTGTCAGTCTAAATTAGACAAAAAACATGGAATTTCATTAGAACTCAGAAAAAGGGAAAGTAACTTATTAGCTACAACAATCTCATGTCACATAAGGTCTCCAATACACTTTTTCCTTTAAAGTAATTAAACAGTGACATTTGCAGCTGACTGAAACTAATTCTAGCTGTCACAGCCATCAAGATTGTGCACTTCCAGCCTTAATTTTACTCATTGACTAGGAGTAAACACGTTTTTTGCCTCAACTGTTTGCTGACTTTGAATAAATTATTGTAATGAAAATATAGGGTGGCTTTGTGCAGGTGCAAAAAGTTCCCAAAAAGCCAGTTCACTTGCTTAAGACATTTCAAACTGAATTACTTTTTTCTCCAGTAATTTTTGCCTTCCTTTTTAAACTTAAGATTTTAACAAAGCTTTTTAAGTTTCAAGTAACTACTTTGGCAAATGAAACTGTTTTCTTGTATTTGGTTCAAGGTATCAATAGTAAAACAGCAGTCACTACCTGGTAACAGACCACTGACTACTTCTGATTTCAGCACGAAGAACTGAATGCAAGACCTCAAATGATAACATCATGAAAAAAGGTAAGCAGAGCGTTATATTTCAGAAAGCTACTTTGTATTACATCTTCACAGACGTTTTACCTATAAAAGGGAAGTCTTGCAAATTGCAAGTAATCAAAATTTGAGTCACCTTAATGCTCAATCAGCTGTCAGTCCTTCAACAGAATATCACTGCAATAAGTTCACTTTACAGACCTGATATCTCCCTGTACTTCTTTATTCTCTGATAACACCCACTGCCTTCAAGCTTCACTATGGCTACATGCACCACCGATTTCCAAGATTCTGGCAGAGTCTCAAAGCAGCAGTGACTTCTAACTGTTGAAGTGCAGTAGCAGTGGTCCCTAAACTCAGTTCAGCAAGTCTTCAGATATAAAAGAAAACCGATCACAAGGCCATACAGACAAAATACAACATTCTTTTGAAATATCAGTTATAAAACCATAGGGGGAAAAATGATAAATATGCATATGCTGTATTTAATGAAACATTTCTGCAATAGGCTAAAAAGCCAACCTGAGGCTCAGATGAAAGTGGTCTTAAAAAGCCTGAGCTAAACAGATGTTTCCATTAACATGGGAACAAAACAACCATGACTTAATGCTATGCAAAGGCATTTTGCTGCACAACATTAACAGCAAACTGATCCTCACCATCTATTTCCAGGTCTCTCATCACTGCATTTACCAAGACAACCTGTTTACATCAGATCTGCAGTCTATACAAACTGAGGATTGGAACAATTATTGTGTATTTACAAACTTATGTAGAATCCCTCATTTTCTCAGTGCAAACCATTGGATGCCCAACTACTTTTCCTTCTATGAAGGTTACCTTTATTATCAAAACTATCTGGAAACAACGCCTGCATTCACTTTCAGCAGGAAACAGCAGCAGTGGGTGAGGAAAAAAAAAAAAACACACCACACCACCACCCCCCCCCCCAAAGAAAAAAAATCAATAATAGGGATAGAGGTTTTACATTAAATACAAGTTTAAATAAGAATGTGTCTCATATGATTTAGCTCAGTACTCTTCTACCCCACAGCTTTTTACTTGTGTGGCATTTTAGGTTTGCCTAGATCTTGTCCAGAAACAGCTGTCTCCTCCATGACTGCCCATCTGAGGTGAGTCAAGAGTCAATCAGTAGTTAATTCCGACTAATACAGCCAGAGGAAAACCAGGAAAACACCACATCACTAAGTTATCTGTAAGTGCAAATCAAATAAGGCAGGAAGAGGGGTATTATGGAAATAGAGCAATAATAAAACTTCCACCTCTATTTTTTTTTTTAATTTTTTTAACCTAACTCTATTTCATTAAATATTAATAGTAGTGATGTTCAATAATATATTAAAATTATAACAGTAGCTCCACAAAATTAAAGTGTCAACTTCAGATGCATTTTTGCCAAGAGAGACAAGAACATTTATGTAAGCATTTGTTAGTTTTGTGCAGTGCATTGGGAAGGCGGAGAGCCACACATCTTTGACTTGCCTCCTCCCCTCAACCATGTAGTCCCTCCATGAGGAGGAGGGATCTGAGTCCTCCCTTCTGCTTATCTCATTTTCTTTTTAAGGAGGTGCTAAGATCCCACAGAAAGCAATGGTACTCCAGCTGCTCCCAAGTGCCTGGGGGTATCACTTCATAAACTGCCCTGAAGAAAGGAGACCTGGAGGGCTCCAGTCTCAAAATATTTTCTTAGCTACTCTTAAAGGCAAATATATTTTTATTTTCCATACATGAGCAATTTCTTCAGAACTTCTTAACAGTTGAAAGAGCTTGTGCAGAGAACACACAGCAGAAACACTGTAAAAACATGTTAAAAATCAGCTAGCAGATTAGATATAACAGGGTAAGCTGCAGTTCTCTACTGGTTGTAATAATGAACAATCTATTGGGATAACCATAAAAGACCTTATGAAGAATGCAATGAGAGTATAGTCTAAGTCAGTTGTGAACAGTTATTTTGCATTTGCGTACCCCAGTATTTGAACAATTTTCACAAGCATCACAGCAGGTACAGTACAAGCTAATGCAGCTTTACTACCTGCGGCAGTTGGCATCAAAGAAAAGTTTAATTTCTATTTCTGCTAGTCTTCAAATCTGCGGTATGGCATCTGCACCCCTACTGGGAAAAGTTTTTAAAGCCCAAGATGGAGAAAACTCCTTTGGTAACCAGTAGTCACGTGGATTTAGCATAAAGTTTTTCTGTATCTGTATGTCAGCTGCGCTGCCAGTTAATCCAGCAATTCCAGAATCATCTTTGTATGCTTATTCCTCTCTTTGCAGAGGGAGAAATCTTGCCTCCTTTACAAGGACATCAAGAGTTGGTACTTGTGCAGCAAAATGCAAGGTACAGACAGCTCAAGAATTAAGCCTCCCTAGTTCCCTTACACATCCGGTGCTGTCTGCAATAAATGCAGCATCGTTAGTTTGCCGTAGTTAGTTCCGTGAACACCGAAGAGAGCCGCCGCCGCCCTCCCCCCCCCCCCCCCCGAGCCCTCACTCCCCGCCGCCAGGCCGGCCACACAACTCCTCTCCCGCGGGTCACGCGCAGCACACTGGGCGATGTTTGCACGCTCGGCCAGAGCCCCTTCGCCCGGTCCCCGCTGCGGGCAAGGCTTCCGCTAACGGCCCATAACCGCCCTCCTGCGACGGCGACACTGGCAGCCCGACCAGCAGGCGCTTCCCGGCCCCTCTCCTCCGCGCCGCAGGACCACACAGCCAGCGCCGCCGCAACCCATGACTCACCCCCCCGGCGGCACTAGCCGGGCGGCGGCTAGCAGCTCAAGTTTCCCGGTGTCGCCGCCGGGGAGGCTTGGCCCGCCGCAACCCTAGGGGCGGGAGACGGAGCGGGGCCAAGCCCGGGCTGCGGCAGCGGGATCCGCATCCCCCCTGCCCTGCCAGGCCTCTGAGGCCGTCCGGACATAACGGGCCGGCTGCCGGCGGCAGCAGCAGGAAAGACCCAAAACCCGCCGCTGAACCCTGCCCGCTACCCCCTTCCCGCAGCCCGGTGCGCGGGGCAGGCGGCAGCCCCTCTCCCCGCTGCTCACCCTTGACTTTGCCGAAGGTGCCGACGCCGAGCGTGTCGCCTAGGATGTAATGCCCGATCTTCACCCGCCCGTGCTCGTGTTTCTGTTTATCACCCGCCGCCGCCATCTTTAGCCAAGGGCCGAGTCTGCGCATCGTACCCGCCCGCGCCGAAACCTTAGCGGAGGAGGAGCAACCCAGAGCACCCGCCTGCACCAAAACGTGGAAGCGAGCTCCGCTTTCAGCGCCTTCCCGCTCTCCCTGGGACAAACCATTGCGGTTCGAGGAGGGGAGTGGCGGGTCAGCCGAGCGGCGTTGCGGGGGTGCCGGTGTTGCCCGCAGATGGCTGGAGCCGGGGGATCAACGCCGTTCTTGGTGCGAGGTGAGCCGGTACAGGGAATACATCCGTAGCTGTAATTAATAAACTTTGCTCGGTTTTCCAACCACCCGTGCTCGGCAGTAAAGGAGGATCCGTGACATTACAAGATGAAGCAGGCTGCTGTAGCCATGTTCCAGCCTCCCTCCCTGGCGCCATGAGCAAACGGAAGCCCAGCCCTTAATTATGGTGATTCAGGAGCATAAGCTCCCTCGAGATCAGTTCTGCTAAAACATGAGTGTTGGGGTCCTATGGCAGAAACATACCCACCTTCAAATAACCAGATGTCTCAAGTTTCCATACTTCTCATCAGCCACATAAATTAAATGTTCATTCTCTCCCTTCCTCTTCCCTGGTCCAAATCCAGAGCCTATTTCAGGAAAACAAAGAGAAGTAGAACCTTCGTAGTCCTCCTACCTTGAGCAGATGACCTGTCTTCCAGTTTGTTTCACCAACACATTCGTTCAGATTGCATTTAGGCCAGCAGCCTTCCTTCTGTTGATTGATTGTATGGTATTTTCTACATACCCAAGACTACATTCTTTTATTGTTGACTGTAACTGGGTTATTTTTAAATCACTTTCGAACCCTACCTCCAAAGAAACATGAATCTGGAGGAGTAACAATTGGATGAGGTATTTATGTATGGAGAGATCCACTTAAGAGGGAAGTTATCAGGGACTCCCATCCCTTCACATCCTCTCCCCAGTGTTCCAGGCTAACTGAAATGCTTTCTCTTGCCTGCTCTAAACACAGCCCCTGAATGTGCTTGCAAATAAATAAAGATTTTTTATAGTCTTTAGATATTTATTTGCAGATAAATAAATATAAAGATTTAAAAATGTGCAGACATGAGGAAGTTGAACAAGTTTTTCTAGTAACTGCCCTAAATCTGATTCAGAGACCATTTGGTGTTACTTACATTACAGTCATTAATGTAATGGAAAGTTGGAAGCAGAAATTTGGTTCCATGGAAAATCTTGCTATTTTAAAACATCCCTCTACCATAAAGGGCTAAAAAAAAAAAACAAAAAAAAAAAACTCTATCTGTTCATTACTATGGAATAAAAAATATGAAAATATAAAGGAAGTATAAAGGATACTTTTCTTTAATTTGATAAAATCAAGTCATTTGTTCAGCCAGTGCCAAAAGATAGACCAGTAGGGAATGTAGGGACTGCTTATAAGATCTAAACTGCTAAAAATTGCATGACATGAAGTAAATTAACATTTAAAATGGTAAAATAGTTAAAACCAGGAAAGTAAAACATATGTAATTTTTATTTGAGTGATTTAGAAGTTTAATTTCAAACATTTTCCTAAGGATCGTAATTGAGCAGAAAATGTGGGAAGCTTTCAGCCTGCTTTAATTGATCAGTATAAAGTTTTACTATCAATGTCATAAATTAATGTTAAAAGAGACTATGCAACACAGGAAAAGCTTCACTAAGCTTGCATTAATGTGTAAAGGTGCCAGATTTTTCACTTCCTGACTTCTGAATTCATGTAAGTTAATTATGCACTTTCTGGACATCACCTAAAGAGATGTATTCCCACAGCAATTCTAATCTGAATCACAATTCACCCTCAGTAGCAGTAGGCTTGTGAATCATGTTGTTTTTCTTTTTTCCTTTTTTTTTTCCTTCGAATTAGAAGGAGAATAGAGAGTACAGAAATCTGCTAATTTCTCTGTCACAGAACTTCCTGTCTTCTGTTGTCAGACCCATCAGTTCTTAACAGTGCTTTGACATATGTACGGAAAGTACACGAAAGGGAGACGAGGAAGCATCAGGCTTTGTGCTCATCTGTACCTATGTGATTTCCTACAGTTCTGCTTGAATACAAGTGACATCCCATACTTTTAAGGAAACATAGAACAAGTTCACAGCTGTTAGTTTCCACAATGACTTGTGGTATGACTTTTAAATGACTTGAAATTCAGTTCTAAAATAAAAGACCTTGGCTTTAAAAATGCTAGCACTATTTAACATTGACTAACATAAACTCAGCATCTTTTTAGTTTCTGGCATATTTTATACATCAGCAATCTGCCTCCCATATCTCACAGCAGAAGAATATTCAGCATTAAGGTTAGACATTGTTTCATTGAAAAAGTTCTCTGTAGAAGGTAATAGTCTCACATCTGAGAAGCCTTCAGTGGTGCTGTAGAAGAATCCACAAAAGAGAGAACCAAGAACAGTCAACAGACATTGCAGAAATACAAAACCAGACATGTAAATAAAAACAAAAATTCAATTACAGCTGTACCTAAGCAGATGACAGGACTCCAATGATCAATTACACTTTGAAGTCTGAAGAGAGGTCAGACCTTTAGAGGTGACAAATGTGACACGGTATGCAAGCTGCATGGGGTTTATCCCATGTTGCTGCTTATTGTAGCCAAAAATAACATACAAGCTGAGAGCACTATTAGCGTTTTCTTCATTTATTGATCTTTTTGGAATGTACATTATTGCAGCCAGGTGGGAACCCCGGTTTGAGTTTTGCTTTGTTTCTCGCTCCTTCTCCCCTCCTGTCTTTTATCCCTTCATCTTCCTGTAAAGTGCTTGTATTACAAAGCAAGGTGGTCTAACAGTGACCCAAAATCCCATCCCGCCAACTGGACAGTGATTTGATGATTACTTTCTTTCCTCCAGGCTATTGTAGACTGGCTGGGTTAAGTCCAGTACAGAAGGGTAAAGTTCAAGGATGTCTGTAAGAGTACTCAGAAAGGGACACTGGCTCCAAGTTAGAGGCTGTGTGTAATAGCTTAAGAATTTCAGCACTAACCTGAAGCTGGTTTTTGTGTAAGATCATTACGGATTTGTGGAAGGCACTAATCTGTAACATTGAAGGAAAAGTGGTATATGCAGGTTCATTTGTGTAAATAGTAATACAAATGTGTATCAAAAACAGTGAACCGTTTTCTGAATGGTATACAATCTGCATGATATACAATTTCAGACCTAGAATATGATGAATTAAGGCAGTGTGAAAATGAAGCAACACACGGATGGCCACTTGCTGTGCATGCTGTACCATGCATAGCTTGCTGATCTCTAACTGCATGGATTCAGATGATAAAGTTTCTAATATGTTGAGGTTGCACATACACAGTTTTAGACTGGCTTTGTTGCTTTGATCATTATGAAAAATAGAGAAGCATAAATAAAAATACAGACTCTCATATAGTAAAGGAAGACAAAAGTCTGAAATTAAATCTGTCTTTATCACTGTTAAAAGCTACCATATTTTTCCCATTAATCTCCCAAATCAAGTGCAAAAATACCTAAAGAATATGTAAACAAAATTCTACAAAAATAACAAAGTTGGAAAGAACAGAGTACCACCTGATAATTCTGATTTCAAATATTTTGTGCTGATGACTTAAGCTAATTTCCCCTTTCTCAATTTTTATCAGCTGTTCTGTATTTCTGATTGTTTTCCTGTATTCTGGTATGCATATTTAAACTATTTCCACTACTCTAACTGGATGGTAAATGTTGCTCCCCAGATTTCAGAAAACCTAAATAATGTTGCACTTGTGTGGATAACCAGTAAAACCCTGTTAACAGCAACAAATTTCTTCTCTTAAGAAGTAACTAAACATCTGACATCTATAACCTTGCAAAGTACTAAAACAGAGTAGTTAAATGCTGTACAGCTTGACTCGGAGGCAGAGTTGTCACCAGTTTCAGGAGAGTCAAAAGAAATACTATGGCCCATTGTCTTTAATATAACTTAAATGTTTGATTGAGGTTCCACTATTGAATACCAAAACATCTTACTTTGGTAAGAGGTCTCGCTTCATGCATGTATTTCCAAATTAACTCTTCTGATTAAAACAGACAAATCATGCATGCCTCCTTGCTAGCTCTAAACTGGGCAGCTTTTCCATGGCCAGACACAAGAAGCCCCCCAGCATTTCCTTTATCCCCACAGACGTTGGTTTTGGAAACCAAGGACAAGAGCAGACTCCAGATTTCTTGCCCTGCTGCGTCCCTTACCCAGAGTGCTGGCTCCCTGTGCGTTGCAAACAGAATCCACACCTTAGCACCACACAGAGCTCCCCGGGGCAGCTGTAAGCCCCTGGATCACGCCAGGCTGTGGTGTTTCCAGGGAACAGCAGCTCTGCTTCGAGCACAGCAACCCTGAGGAAAATGCTGGTGCAAGACATTCCCACCGTTGCCAGGGAACCAAAGGCGAGAGGCTTGTGATTCGGCTCCTCCATGGGACTGAGCCTCGCCACATCTCGTGCCAATGTTCCTGAGCAACACGAAGTAACAAGACCCACCGTGGGTGCACCCCATCCCTTGAGTCCCGTAGCTCAGGAGCATGGCGCCGCCGAGGCTCATCCTGCACTGCAGGCTCTGTGCGACTTTGAGAGGGTTCTGGGTGGAGGAGGTGAAAGACCCAGCGGGCACGTCAGGAAACAAAGTGCTTAGCACCGGGAAGTGCGGGAGAAAGTGGCACGGCTGGGGATAGCAACGCCACCGGCATTGCCAGTACCGCTGACACTTCTTCTGCAGTTTTTATGATGTTCTTTATTTACTGAATAATAATAATAAGTAATTAAAAATAAGAAAAATAACGATG